AACAGCATAGCAGGAAATATTTCGAATGGCTGGTCAAAGATTCTTGATGCCGCTTTTAGAAATAAATCAAACAAAGAAAAACTTTAGTCTACTACGGTTTTCAGCCACATCGTATCTTTTAACAAAGATTTATGAAATTTTATTATTTATACCGGTAAGTAGGAAAACGTTAAACCGTTTCATATGTATAATAATACAGTTTTTATCTATATAAATCATATCAGTGAATAGGGATGAAAGGAACGCAAGAGCATTCTGGTATTCTTATACATGGTTATGGGCAATATTTAATAAATAGTCGTTAATATGTAATAATTAAGTAGCAATATATGAAATGGATCCTCTAATTTCTGCTTCCTCTTAAAAATAACTTTCCTCTCAGTTGTTTATAAATTTGAAAGGAAAGAAATAAATCACTATATTATTACACAGAGTGTTTGTGAAAAATGTGGTAATTTAGTATTCCAAAATAACAACGCATGGAATCAGAATTCTATTTTAGAAAACAATATCAAATAAGTATCTAACTCTCGTAATTTCAGTGTCACAAGCTTTTCAGTAAAAATATATGAAATTCGGATTTCTTATATTAGCTGTACAGAAAGAATATTTAGTTAATAAATTTTTCTTATAGTTATACATTTTAGTAGGGGAAAAGGTTTGTAACATAAAAAATTTGGTCTAAAAAAATTGTCGAAATTTACCCGAAAAGAGTACTGATTTAGGGGTCGTGAACAAATTTCGAAGCGCGGTAATTTTGCAAACAAACGACGGAAAATAAACTATCAAAGTTAGTGTTTCTTTTAACATGAAAGTTGTCTTTTTTGACTAACTGAGCTATATAAACATTTTTAAGCAATTAGCGCAAGGAATACCATTAGTAGAAATAATGTATTTGAATTCAAATTTCATTAATCAGATTTAGCGGCATTTTAGATGACTGGATTGTGAGATTAAAGACTTATAATGTTTATTTATGAGTGCCTTCTAATGCCTTATGTTTATTTTTGTACCATCTAAATGTTTATTAATGGGTTTATGTGCATTTTATTATCCATGAGAATTAATGCCAAAGGCTTATCTTTCCAAGTGAAGCGCAGAATAGCTTCTCGAAACTATGTAGGCATTGGGAATCAAAATTTATTAAGTTATAGCTAAAAGAATCAAAAGTTATTTATTAAACAGCAACTAAAAATGGTACTCCAAGTAAAATAACATGATGTGAATTTATAGCAATAAAAATGGAAATTGCTGTATAGAACTGTATTCTTATGTTCTCAAGAATACGTTTAATTTTACATCCGAAAGGATACTATTGTTAAAAAAAGTCTAAAGTACTTCTAATCTAAATTGGCATAATTTTAATTCTTTCATTTTTCATTTCGTGTGAGTTATTGCTGCTCGGTAATTATTTGTTCGTACAAATGTATTTTATACGGAGCCTGTGCATTTTAAACCTAAGTTCTGGCTCTGTGTAGACAGTCAGGTGAATTATCTCTTGTCTTAATCTCCCAAATAAATAACTTTGAACTGAGAAGAAAATTTAAAATAGATTTTTTATTAAACTTATAATTAACAAACTACATCTGGAGAAAAACAAAATAAATCCCCACTTATTGCGGTCTTTAATGAAACGTGAGAGTCAAAATAAAATTTAGTAACCGAAGTGTACGATTCACCAGGCAAAATCTTGTAAATTTTGGCTCAGGCCCTCTAATTACGCGAGCAAATACGGTGTAAAGGTAGAGTTTCGAAAATTTGTTTTCGTAAATCTTCCAGAAATTCATCAGGATGGCAAGAAGTCGCCAAAAGTCGCGAACTTGGCGACAAAAATGTTGCCAAGGACCGTCGGGAAAGAAATTACCCATATCCCTTCTCCAAAATGAGCTATTTTTACAATTCCAAAGTTTTTGCACTCATAATTAAATGATCTACAATTCTACACAACAAATAAACATTTAAAAATGTAAGACATGGGACCACAAATTAATATAAACTTAAAAGAAACCCAAAAATTATCAATCTAGAAACAATAAAAAATGCAAAAACAATGCAGAAAAACGAAAATACAATCAGAAAAACTTTATGTTTACAAATATTTACAACAATATTTATTTATAATTCTTTGTCATGCAACAAGGTTAATACATAGAAATAATGCAAATACATAAAACTTTTTATGAAACCTCCCTTAGTGTTAAAGTCCACGATATTATTTATTTTTGTTTTTCAAGTATTGTACAAGAATTAAAGGAAATCATACTTGTTCTTAAAACAAAATGCTATAATTAATGATTGATGAGCTTTCATGGTCTAAAATAGGCCAAATCTTTAATCAACATAATCAGTTAGACTTATATTTGAAGAATGACATTCTTAAGAAAGGTTAAAAAAACCTTGCAACCGCGAATACATTTTAGGAGAAAAGGTTACTGTTACATCAATCTCTTTCTGCCTTTTTCCATCAAAGATTATCACAATACATTTTGACTTGAAAATAAGGCATGCACTGTTTAAAGCATAAGACATTTTAGGCACAACTCATTTTAAGGAATTAAAGGTCAAGAACATATTTTTTTTTTTTTCAATTATTCTGCACCGTCTCTTTCTGTAAATGGAATGATTAACGCACGTGACGTATTGGACAACACGTGAATGGACTGAGCATTCACTTAACCCAAAACTGTGAGTATGACGGAAGGTAGCACAGAAATTTGAGCTGCATGAATTCAAGACACAGCCATTTTTCTTTTCGTAATAGACAAGTTTGATTGTGAGGCCATGTCAAAAAGTAACATTATCACTGCAGGAGATGCATTTTGCAAATTCCTCCTAATCTCCCGCTGTGTTTCTTTTTGTACAAACCCACTCTTTTCAATGTCAAGAAAAAAGATTTGTCCAACTCTGAAAACAATGTCTCTTTGTGATATAGAGGGAGTTTTTTTTCTTGTTTACTAACAATTAGGTTTATCTCTAATTGCATTTTGTAATTTAATTCATTAATTCAACTGAAAACATTTTGTATTGAATTTTTTAACAGTACTTCGTACTAACAAAAGATTTTTAAAGAAGGACTACAATAATCTTTTTTTTGTAACCTATTATTTCAAAATTGTCTTATTGTTCCTTATATTACATTAGCTTCTTGTCAATCATGCCGTCTTGTCACATTAGTACTAAACTATATTTATGCGCGATGACTAATACAATAGGAGAACTAGTTTAAAATAAGCTTCTTGTCAATCACTTACTAAAATGTATTTAAGTGGTTATGATTTTATGTTTATATTTTATATTAATTATGAGTATTAAGTAGGTACTGCTTGTAAAATTCTTGCCAATCTAATTTCTACTAAAAATGAATATGTGCCTCTCGCTTTTACGCACTTTATTTTTACCAATATCAACAAGAAAGTTATGCGAAATAAAGATGTTGCGTTTGCTTTATTTTATGGGCCACGCGAGAGAAATTCTGCTTTCTCATCACAGATTTTGCTTATGGGTTCTTTGATTTTTTTTTCACTTGAAAGAATTTGCCGATAGTTTGAATATTGGTAAAGATTGTAACTTTTGGCTTTAGACTGTGCTCAATCAAGCCTGAAATCCTCCCCCTATGCCCCGTATACCGCTCAACCCTATGAGAAACCTTTTCTAGCATATAAATTCTTCTATATTTTTTATATTGAAATAATCACTAAATATTAAGAATTTAGAAACCAAAATCTTTCGGAAGCTCATTTGAATTTAGAAAGCAATCAATTTTTTAATGAAATGAAATAGTTAGTTGCTGAATCGCTCAATAAACGATCTCGGACTCTTTCTTTAGTAGCGTGACGAAATTTCTTATGAGATCGTGTTGAATAAAGGATGGTATGGCAAATCCGCGTTCTTTTCTTTCAAAATGAAAAATAAAAGATCTCAAAGAATTTAACAACTTCGACTCAGCAGTAAGGTTGTCGTATTTCAAATCCAATACCTTTAGTTCTATTATTAACAAGTCAAAAAAAATTATTACAATTTGGCAACGGCTATTGGACACTGGACAACAATTATTATATTATATTATATATATAATTGTTTGTGCCATTGCCAACAGTATAAATATTATTGTTTATAATTTAATGATTGTTATAACAGTATAAAATTATTAACTCCCTACTTTATTAAATCAGTGGGAATTCAACGTTTTACTTTCGGATGTGGGTATTAACTTTTCTTGTCTTCAAACCTTAGTTTACAACCCCAACGGAATTTGGGAGGGGAGGAAGGAAGCGATAAATATTGGTATGTGAATGAGTTCAAGCAAAATGCCTATGATTTTAATAAATGGAAAAGAATAATAGTTATCTTTTGAATTTCGTGGAAGTAATTTATTTATACAATATTTTTAATTTGATACCGATTTAAAATCTGAATTTCTCGGCGATTTTTTTTAAGTGATCCTGCAAAGCCTTTTATTATTATCTAAAGATAGCGATAGCATGCATAATTCTTCTACATAATAATGTATTTCCAAATAAAAACTAACAATACAGCCTTCTACATAATAATGTATTCTAATAATTCTAATAAAGTGATCTGCAAAGCCTTTTATTATTATCTAAAGATAGCGATAGCATGCATAATTCTTCTACATAATAATGTATTCCACATAATAACACATCTACATAATACAGCCTTCTACATAATAATGTATTCTACATAATTCTACATAATAAGTGATCCTGCAAAGCCTTTTATTATTATCTAAAGATAGCGATAGCATGCATAATTCTTCTACATAATTATGTATTCTACATAATAACACATCTACATAATAATGTATTCTACATAATTCGTCTACATAATAACACATCTACATGATACATTCTTCTACATAATAATACATCTACATATCCTTAATTTCTCATATACATCATTGAAGAATAAAAATAATGTATTTTAATATTTTGATAATATTATTCTGTATATTGGTTTTAAATTACGGATTTTCTTTCCAGGTGTCTTAATACCTCAAGGGACAATTCGAAGAGGTGCCCGATGCAGCACAGCCAAGGCATTTTTACAACCAATCAAGAAAAGAAAGAACTTCGACGTAGTAACGTATGCCTATGCGACTAAGGTGAATATTTTTTATTGATTATCAGTTTATTAGTTTTACAATTTATTCGTTTCTGAAGATTATAAAATTTTAGTAGCTTCGTAATTTAGTAGTTTCGTAGATTATAAAATTTTAGTAGCTTCGTAGATTATAAAATTTTAGTAGCTTCGTATAGAGTTACCAAATTTAAAGTTATCGTCGTTAGCGTCTGGTGTTTTACTTTACAATATTTTTGTTGGAAAATATACCTCCAATTTCACCTTCTTGACAACATGCTTGAACTCTGCAGAGTTTTTTTTTTTTTTTTTTTTTTTTTTTTTTTTTTTTTTACCGCAAGGCTTATATAGAGTTTTTAATTTCGAATAAATTTTTGAAGAAAAAAAGAATTTTCGGCTTATAATAAATAAGATCGGCTTACATGGAAATATAGAATATGTATTTTTAATCCTTTTTTTGGGTCATACCGAACTTTTTTCTTGACAACATCAAATATTAATGCGTACTGTAATTAATGGTTGTTTTTCTTTGGTTGGTTTAGGGCTATCTGCCTAAGGGGAGGGATGCCTTCGTGGAGGGCTTTCTATGTGAAACTGGCTCGTATACACCGTACTGTAATTAATGAAAAAAGTGATAATGCAATAAATCAGCAATATCATTTTTGTCACTGTGGCGTCAACCCAAAATTTATAATAAGATATAACTCTAATAGTAACTAAATAAATAAATGAAATTTTAAAAATTAGAAATCTAAATGGCAACAAGAACGAGGGCAGTAATACCAATGCAACATGCCGTTACATAATATGTGCAAAAAATTGCATCAAGTCAGTAAATTTACACATCATTAAATTTCCATTTCACTTCTATTACATCTCATTTCTTTCCTTTCGTTTCCCCCCTCCGTTTTTTGTGAAACTGAGTTAACGTGTTTGGCCCAAATTACAGTTTGGTTCATTTTTGATATTTTCTTTTTTCTCTCTCTCTCAACTTTCCTTTTTTTAACTCCTTTTTCTGCATTGTCACGGACTGTAACCGCTGGTTTGAGGTAAATAAAGTATGTACGCACATTCCTCGCTGCATACATTCCATTCTTAAAACGAGTCTTCAGTCTTTCGGAATATTTTTTTTCAATCAATTACATCGAAGATGCCATTTTTTTAATAACTAGCCTAACTTTCGTCAAAATATCTATTTCCATCAATTCTCAATATTATTTTCATTTTTATGCAACTCATACTTGCTGCTATGGATTCAAAGACTTGAGCAATAAAAATTATTAAAGGTTTCTTCGGATCATGTAATTATAATCAAGCAAATTATTGCAAAGAAATGTGAATATGATCGATAACATTCGCCTTATTCTTCAGGCTTTTCGTCTAATAATAACTATAGGTTCCCTCAAGTAATATCTGACCTTAATAAGCCACTTATGAGCTAAATATTCCAGTAGTTAATTTGTACATTCTTTGAAGCTCTATTAACAGGATAAGAAATGTATAGCAACAAAAGGAATATCTGTAAAAGGTTGAATAGGGATAAAATTGTTTTCTTCATGCACATATAATAATGCAAACTGTGTTACATTATAAGGTATTTCTCCCGCCTTCTTAGCATGCCTTCGTAATGTAGTGTTCTGCACGCTGGGCGCGTCTTCCAGAGGTCTGTGGTTCGAATCCCGGGCAGAGCGGTGCTCATTTGTCATGACCCCTGCTTCCAAAAAATACCTAATGGCTCTACACTGGTGCCCGAACTAAAAGGGTGGTGGATGATGATTCTCCACACCCAGTATTTGGCGATTGGTTCCCCTAAAACAGCAATCGCCCTTTAAAAGGGAAAGTATATAATATATTTATCCCACTTTCTTAGCATGCCTTCGTAGTGTAGTGGTCTGCACGCTGGGCGCATATTCCAGAGGTCCGTGGTTCGATTCCCAGCGAGGATATTGCTCATTTTTCATGATTCCTGATTCCAAAAAATACATAATACCTCTACAACATATAAAAGTTATTTGAAATGATGATTATACGCTTTTATTTCCTGAAATATAGCTGCTAGATATGTAATTCCGCTTAATATTTTTTTAATAAAGCGGAAAATTTTGAAGCAAATAGCTTCAATTATGTAGATGGGAGATTCTAGAAGAAAGCAAAATCTGACTTTTTTATAATTGCGTTTTAAAACTTCTTACTAAAATATTTATTATGTTATTTTACATTTATATACGATATTCGCAGATAAATACTTAAACATTGCTCTCAATTTACCAGCTTCAAATTTGCAGTGAATATGGTTTTACCCCAAAAGAAATATTTAATCACTAAAATGAGCAGCTTTCAGTTTGTATTCAATTCTCAGAAATTTCATTATGAGTAAAACTAACCAAGCAACTTCATTATAAATAAAATGACAAAGGTCTTCAATTTCGCTCTTGATTATATCTCCGAGTTTTGAATATTCAAGAAAGTGGACGTTTATTAAAATGATGAAGCAATGATGAATACTTTATTAAAACTAAAAGTTTTGCTCTTAGGATGATCATAGAAATTTTTTTTTAATAGAACGTTCTTACCAGAGAGTTGAAATTATTTACATAAAATTCTGTACTTTATTTCAAGAAACATTTTAAACTACATGTCTGTAATCAATATTTAAGGAATTAGAGCCTTTAGACACGTAATCGAACACCGTGCTGCATTATGTCAACATGTACCACTATTTGTTTTTAAGCAAATTATATAAATTTGTTGTTAATAGCTTAAAAGATAAATGAGAATGAAATTTTGCTTAATTTATTTTCTCACAAAAGCGTGTCTTTAATTCTTGTGAAATTCTCACTAGTTTTAACACTTAATCATAGTAGCTACAAAAATATTGCTCTTTTCCTGCACAGGGCCTCAAAGATCGCTGATATAAATTAGGGAACGTTATTTATTTAGGGATGATATGACTTGTAGCTTTTGTTGCTGTTTTCTTATCCATATTACATGGAACAATGATTGCCAGCGCCTACTCCGAAAAGAGGTTGGACTTCTATTTTCCACCCCCCAGCTTTGAGGGAGAGCACCCCGGGAGGGGGATCCGGAGGTTCCCCCCTCTCCACTTCCACCAATTACACGAGAGGACTTTCGGATCGCCGTATATTTAAAGTGCCGCCATGCCGCACTATACATTTACAAACATCCATGTCTTCTCCGGGGTTCGAACCCGGGCCCTTCGGTACCGTAGTAGGCTTCCCTAAATCACTATCCTGTCTGGTTTGCATTTCTAGCTTTTAATATTTGTTAAATGGGCTAATATGATTCTCATGAGAATAATTTATTATTAAGTTATTAAAGTATTTCAGAACTAGTGCCTTCCGAGTGTGGTAACAATCTGTATGGTGTATGGTTTCTTTGCCATGCTTAACGGCTAGTCTTAAAGCTTATATAGTCACTTGCGTACAGCATTGCTTAACATTTTTATTCTATTTTCGTAAAACGTTTTTACCTTTAAGATTTTACTTTTAAAGCGAATCAAATTTTCGAAGCAATCCTCCAGCATTAACGCCATTTTCATCTTTTTACCTTACAATTTTGCCTTAAATCTTTCAGTAATATATTGCGATTACATCTGATTAGCATTAAACTTAAGCGTTTATCAATTTTTTAAATTTCATCTATCTTCTAATTAAACTCTTATTTTTTATATTATATTTATTTGAACTAAAAGAACGATTCTTCTTTTTATGTTAACTTTTGTTTCAATTATTATTATTCAGAGTGTGTTTAAGCATTTTTAAAACAGCTGTTTTTGAATTATGCGATAGGAATATTTCTCTTCGGAATGCGCAAAAACATATCCTTCCACACGTTGTTTACTTGCAACATTTTGAAAGAAAAATAAATTTAAAAATAGTAAATTGGGTTTCTCATTTCAAATAACAAACTGCTGCCAGAAATTTTCTTTCCAAAGCAATTTTTAGTAAAGGAGAAGCGGTAGTCGAGAAGGTTATTATTCTCAAAACGACATTTTGTGGCGTTTCAGTATAAACGGTGAATCACTTTTTAAATTGTTGCCACCAATTTTTATCGCCCTCTATTATATTTAAAGAAATTAAATAATGAAGAATCTGTATGAATGTATTGTGATACTTCTTTGGCGAAATGAAGCAACTCCAATGATGGAACACAGCAATAACTTTTATTTAACACTCAAAAAAATGGCGACATACAAACAAGAAGAGAAAACATATTCTAACATTTAAAAATAAATTACATTCTTCGTGCGAGAGTCGCACGTGGCACTCGAGTCTGGTTTCAAATATTGCCATTCACAAATAACTTAATGTTCATCTATTTAAATTATTTAAACTACAAGATTTTAATTACTTTAAAGCTGTTACAACCTCCCCAACGGAGAGACTTTTTCCGAAGGGAAAAGTTCTGTAAAATTTGACAGTTTAATAAGCTCGGCTTGCTCAATTGCTTAAAGAGCAAAGGTTATTTCTCTTATAAATTTCTAAATTTCAGGCCAAAAAATTTTAAGTTTTAACAATACTTTTACACCACATTTAAAAAGAAAGAAATGGAGAACGTTCAAATACATTAGTTGAGCATACATTAAACAATAAAATTAATTCTAAACGTGGTTACATACACTAAGAGTTACATTACTTAATTCTACTCAGAACATCTACGTTCTTGTGCAAAGATCCTTTGCGACGAATGACCTTAAAATTATAAGGTTGTAATGAGAGTGCCCAGCGCATCAATCTAGAGTTACATTTGGCGTTGGATTGTAGCCAGACCAAAGGATTATGATCAGTTTGAATCAAGAATTCTTGCTGACCATCCAGATAAAAATGCAGTTTCTTGATAGCGTAGATGATAGCAGCGCACTCCTTTTCAGTAGTACAATAATTCTTTTCAAACTTAGTAAATTTTTTCTTATATACAAGAGATGTTCACGTTGTTCATCATCTAATTGGCATAGTACTATACCCATGCCATTGTCTGAGGCATCGGTTTGTATAATAAACCTTT